CGGTCTTTCATGGTTCAATAACAACGTGCATTGAAAAAGGTTTATTAATAATGCTACCCTTAAATATGTTTTTTTAAAGAAACATAATCTGTCGTATCCGCTTGAGTGATATCAATAATGATTACTTCTGCGAAGCTGCAGGTTTTCACATGCCACCGATATCTCCACAAAATTCACACGTTTCCTTTTCTTGCTCGAGAATAATTTTTGAATAATAGTCACCTAGAAGATAGAAGTCTATATCTTTCCTGTCACTACAATCATTCAACGATGTTAACTCTTGCCTGTGTTTCATAGCTGTTATAGCTACAATGTCACAAATACACTACCTCATTACCGATTATGTCATAAGTCATCTGATCAAGTCTGTTTCTACAAAGAAGGGAGCTTGTGGCGATTTAAGTTGTCGATGTGCCGTGACCGTACAGGCCATTAGACATTCGCAGTTTTCCAGAACTTTCTATTCGTTGTGGCCTCTTGATTACTCTTTTCTCTTTCTGCTCATTATTAATGTTGCTGTTCATAATTCTTCTTCATCCTGTAACCCCTTGCGTTTTAGTAACTTTATTGCCTTGCTTGGGGCGATACCGATTCAAAAAGAACGTAAAAAAAGACATCTACGTTAGCGACACAATTATTTATTACTGAATCGATTGTAATGCTGATCAGTACGAGAAGGTCAAAATGGCAGCTGATGTCCAAAACGACATTGAGTCCGTTGTTAACTGGGACAAAAGATGGCTTGTCAATGTTAACGCCCCCAAAACTAAACTTCTCTCCATTAATCATCTGAGATACACCTCTCTGCCATCCATCAATATGGCTGATGCTATCCTCCAGGAAAATGACTCATTGCGTGTTGGTCATGTTCATCATAATCTATGAATATAGAATACAGCGCAGTACGTAATCTGTTCAATGAAACAACGTTAAAGATTAACACTCACGAGTCAGACACTCTTTTGAATCTGACTATATCGCCAATACCACCAGCAGCTGTCCCGTAATTCGTCAGTCTTCGATATCAAAGGCTGGCAGTGATATTTAGCCACCCCTCCTACAAGGGGTACATGTGGCACAAGGCCGGGATTAACGTGGGATCTCCGAGCCCGTGGGCTCGGCCAAAAACATTCCCTATTCGAACGCGTATAAACGGGTTCAGAGGCAGTTAACCTCCCCGAACGAAACTCTGCCCTTCGGCGGAGCCTCGTCCGGGTTATCAAAGCTGCCAGTGAATATTCGGGAAAAACATGACCGCCTTTATACACGTCGCATTGAATATTTTGAGCCTTCTGATTGGTTAAGTCTTCTATTGGTTAAATATAAAATGAGTCAGCTCATTTTGGCTGGCTCACTAGTACACCAGGGAACCCAAAAACTCCAACATTGCGCCTTCTCGAGCTAACGTTCTCAACCGACATGAAGTAGAAAGACTATATTGAATCCATTGCTAGATCAGCTGCTAAGAATTTCGGTTCACTCTGTCGGGAGAGACAATTTCTCTCTCCGGAATCTATCTTGTATATCTATAAGTCTACTATTAGTCCATGTTAGAATATTGCTGTCACATATTCTCCAGCGCCGCTGCTGTTGACCTTAAGCTCCTTGATGAGGTCCAAAGAAGAATCTGCAATATTATTAGCCCTGATCTGGCGGCTCGGCTTCAGTCACTTACCCACCGCCGTAAGGTTGCTTTTCATGTTAATTGCTTATCGCTATGTTACTTAGGCTTTATGAATTTAAAGACTGGCACCGAGATCTCATCAATATACAGTTGAACTGGCTAAATATAACCGTAGGTTCTATGCTAACAGTTTCTTTTCTCGCAATTCTCTCCCGTGGAACGCCCTTCCGACTCCATGATTTTTAGCCAACTTTAATTTGTCTTATGGTAATTTACCCACGCACGCATGGACTCCCTCAGCTATAAATAGGAGCAGGTACTGCCTTTTAGAGAGGGAACTTTCCAGCAGTCAGCTCTGACAGTCGGGCCGAACATTCTTCCTGTAACACTCTCGTTTGTATATATTTGTATTACTGTTTCTGTTAATATATTTGTTTAACTCAATTCCTCTCTGTGTCTTTATTTCTGGCTCTAACAAGGCCGCAACAATCTGCAAAAAATTAAACACAATGTCAATCGCTATCTATTGTCTTCCTGATTATTTTTTTCTCTTCTAGCGCATTATTAATGTTTCTGTTCCTTATTCTTCCACATCCAGTAAACCATTGTGTCTTAGTGGCTTTACTACCATACACGGGATGATACCGATTTAAAAAAAAGTAAAAAGTCCTCCTTCCTCATGATGTCTAAGGAATGTCAACTATAAAATAAATAAATCAAATAAAATGAAATTATGAGAGTCTGTGAAGATCTTCCAGGATATTTTACCGACTGAATTTCCATTCGTGCGAGAAAACTCTGGATATAAATGTTACATATTTCACGTTTACATTCATATTGGATAAATTTTTGGTTAAGAAAAAATTATTACAGACG